TGCTATATAGTTCTCTAAAGTGCAGTCAAATTGAACACCTTCCCCTGGGACCCCAGGATGATGTCTGTGCAGAGGGGGCAAGGACAAATCCCTTAGAGCAGAACAAAGAAACCCTGTAGCAGCCAGATCCCCAGTAGACAGCGACACAAGCCCATATGTCTCATGATGGTTACAAAGTACCATGGAGAGCTACCAAGGCCCAGAGTTCTAGCCAGTCACCTGTCTTTCCTGCAGCTTTCCTTGCTGGGTCCTCCAAATGCACCCACCTCACCTCCCACAACCCCCACCTCTGCTGCTAGCAAACTCATTCGCTGGGCTAGAATTTAACCTGTACCTATATAGTGTTTGTCCTCTAAACACCACACCTACTGGAATCTCGCCCAGCTCCTGCTGCCTCCACTTACACCCACCCTCAGAGCACCAGCAACCCCAGGGCCTGCGCGGGAACTGCACTGGGGGATTCCACCTTCCGCCTTTCAGAGGTAGGCCAGACACTGGGTTGAAAGTTTCCCAGCTCACACGCAGGATCTGTCTACACATGGGATCCCACTGCAAAGGTCTCATAGTCTCTGATTTTGTCAGGATGCCTCCCAGTGGCTACACAGAGGGGAGGCATGGTCACTTTCAAGCATACATCCTCTTCTGAGATCACTCTTGCCAAAAATCAGAAAGATTTTCAAACACTTATTTTCCTTATCCTAAGACTGCAGTTTAGGGCAGGGAAAGGGGTGATGAGACTTGAGGGAGTGGAGGATCCCATTTATCAGAGTTCTGATCAGTGAAAATTCAGCTCTATCTCACCTTCTAAGTCAACAAGAAAGATGCAAATGGAGAAAAGCCAAACCACTCCTGAAAGGGCTGGGGCATGGCTCAAGTGCTGCAGCGCCTGCCTAGCAATTGCAAGGTCCCAAGTTCAAACCCCAGTATTGCCACGGACAAAACAAAACCCACCCTGAAAATCTTAGTCTGGTTAGATCACTGTGGTGTTCAACCTGGGGCAATTTTGTCCCCCAAGCAGCACTGGGTCATGTCTGCAGACATTTGGGCTGTCATGACTGCGGACAGGAATGTGATGATGATAACGATAATGATGTAGTACTATCAGTATTAAGAGGGGAGAGGCCAGGGTGTGGGTCTAGAGCATATGATGCACAGTCCCACCCCCAATGCCCAGGGTCTGCTTCCAGGTATCTACCATGCAGCTATGGAGAAACCAGAGTAGATGATCCCACAATGAAAGGCAGACACGACTAAGGAGGACCTTGCCTGCTCTATGTCTCCCAGTAGGGACACAGCAAAGTGCTCTACCACTGAGCTACAACCTCAGCTTCTTTTAAAATGGTTATTTTGTGACAGGGTCCCCCTAAAGTTGCCCAGGCTGACCTCAAACTTGTGATCCTCCTAACACAGGCTCCTGGGTAGCTGAGATTACAGGTGTACACTGCTAAGCCAGGCAATGCTCTCTCTTTGCTGAGCACTTGGGCTAAATAGGTCTAGAACAGAGTACACTGTGGTCAAAACAGCTACCATCTGATGACTGTTTATTACTGTGGGTGCAGATCAGTGCACCACAGGTTGCTCACAGCAACCATGTGATTAATACTTCCATTTTACAGGTGCAGAAACTGAGGCTGCAAATCACTCAGAGAATCCACAACAGAATCAAAACACAAGCCCAGATCTCAAAGGGAAGTGCTGTGCCCTGTCCCCATCACTTCACACTCATGAGTTTCATGGGGTGGGGATAATGTGCTGCTACGTGTAGAGGCATTTTTGGTGATTGTGGCCCCTGGGGCGGGAGGTAGCTGCATGCTAGTGGCCTGTAGAGAGTATGTTCTGGCAAGCCAATATGCTGCCAAGTGCACTACAATGCACAGCACAGTCCTCTCCAATCAAGGGTGCCAAAGTTGAGATCCCTGCTTCCAGCAAGGAGTTGATGCTGCCTTTTACTGCAGAAATGTAGAACCTAAGACTTTCTATAGCTGTGATTTACTTTGCTTACCCTCTTCCCGATCTTCTTTACCTTTTCTGGAGACAAAACTGCCTCTGACCCAAGTTTGCTTACAATGTGGAATCACTACAAAAACAGAATGAGTAAAGATTTTGGGACTATCAACAGGGAAACCTGGACTCAAATGTAAACACACATGTTCCTATAAGGATGCATGGCAGCTGGACTTTAAAAGTCATGAACTACAGAAAGGGCAGTAAGAGCTTCTGACCCCATCCATGAGATCTCCATGGTAACGAAAGCCAACAGGATGTATTCCTGGACATACAACTGAAGTTGCTTCCTTGTGTAGAGCACAGCATATCTCACTTATCCTGCTGAAACCAGTGTTCCTCAATCCTAGCTGCAGACTAGAATCACCTCTGCAGCCCTCTAACTGCCCAGGTGTCCAGGGCCCCCAACAACTTATGGGACCAGAATCTGTAGGGTGTATGGCCTGAGCATCCATGCATTAAGATAGTTCCCCAGGTGATTCTCGGGCCCAGCCAGGGTGGACGGCCACTGTGTCAGATGGCTGCAGAGATGGATGGGCACAGAGCAGAGAGGCAGAGTGGATGGAAGACCTTGGGTGTGAGGATGGACCAACTGAGGACCCCAGTCAGGAAAGGCAGCAGCCAAGAGCATAAACAGCAAGAGGGAGAGCATGACTATGGGGTCCCTAAAGCTTCTAAACCTACAGATAAGGAAGCCCCTATTTTACACAGAAGGCCTAGCAGGTTGTACCTGCCTCAAGCAGAAGTGGAGTTCTCTGAAACACACGAGTACTGAGGAAAGGATGCAGGGGTACGAGGCATAGAAGTCCTTTCCCAAGGACAACTAGCCCAGAACTAACGTCACAGACAAGATGCTAAGTTAAGGTGGTAAAATTACTGATGTGGTAAAAACTTTACACTTCCCCATTCAGCTATGTGATATACCGTGTATAGCTCATAGGCTACGCAGCCAACCACAACCCCTGGAAAATGACAGACCATAATTTTGTTTGTGCTCAAAGGCATTCCTTGCAATAAGGATTTTCACCGATGGACCCATTCACTCACTCATTCATTTGTTCTGCCAATTCCTCTGTGTCATGCACTGTTTTAGAAGCAGGGGTTCACTAGCAACAATGACAGGACTGAGGAGTTCAATCTAGCCTCTGGGTGGCGGGAAGTGGAGAGTAATATACAGTGGGGCAAAGGGAGAGGACATGTGGACACCATTTAAAAACAGGTGGCCAGGGAAGTCCTCCGCAGAAAAGTAGCATATGAGTAAAAACTTGGAGGTGAAGGAATAAGTCACAGGGGTGTGGGGGGAGCAGAGCAGGAAAAAGGGCTAAAAGGCGGGAGTGTAAGATCCATTCGAGGAACACTGAGCAATTCTGGGCGATTAAGAGCACAGTGAGTCAGGGAGAGTGGTGGGAGAGAAAGGCAGGGAAGTATTGGGGCTACCTTACTATGGGGACTAAGGTGTCAGATGGGTAGGGGTGGAGGGAAGGGGGGCCCACATGGAGGCAGTGGTGGTGGTAAGTGGTAACCCCTGGAAATATTAAGGTGCAAGAACTGACAAGCCTTGCTGTGGGGTATGAAAGAGAGGAGCCAGGGACCACTGCTGTAGGAAAAAGGCTGGGGGTGGGCAGGCTTGGGGGAGAGTAGGTATGCTAAGGATTTTGTTTTGGACACGCTGCTAGATGTACCTTGCAGACATCCAAAGGGGGATGTCAAACGTGATGCTGGACACATGACTGGAATTCAAGAAAGCATACAAGCTCAGTGGATAGACAGTATGCTGCACAGATTCCTGGATGTTCAGTCCCTCTTCTTTCTTCAACTGATCTCATGAGTGGGGACTTCCTCCCCACTCCATGGCTCTTTTGTCTTATAAAAGACACACAGAGCAAGATGACCAGGGGTGGGGGGGCTCTGAAGCCAGACCACCGTAGTTTCCATCCCTGGTCCTTCTAGGTGAGCTACTTAACCACTCTGACTCAGTTTCCTCGCTTCTGAGGAATGGGTACAATGGGGAGATACCACGGTGCTCAGACTGAGCGGGACCTGGTGCCATCCCAAGTGCTCCTCCAGCCCTTGCTAGCAGCAATCCCACACCAGTGTGGTCTGTATGGAGACCTCCGCCAACTCCGACAGCGGGGAGCACGCATGGGGGCACCGGGGCAGGTAGGCGGAGCGCTTGCCTGCAGTTGTGCAGGGAGACAAGCAGGCAGCTAAAAATAGAGGCCGGAAGTCCTGAAGCTACGGCAGAGCTGTTCGCGGGCATCGGCCTGCCGAGCGCCTCCCTGGGGGACTGGGAGGGTAGCCTTGTCAAAAGCGCTCAGGTGGGATGTCAGCGCTGCAGGGGAAGGCCCCACTGCTCTCCCATGGGAAGTACAGACAAAAATCAAGGGGGAGGGGGCCGTGGCCGCCCTTAAATGGTGGGACATGAGGCGCCCTGAAGGACTTATGGGGAACTGGCGGGAATGGGGTTGCCGAGTTCGCGGCGGGGGTGGGGTGAATAGCGCTCGGTCCTTGGCGAGGCGACCACGGACCCGGGGAAGATGAGGATCTAGCAGGAGGCGGGGGGGGGGGGGAGACCAGCAGCTAGGCCCGGGAGCCGGGTTCCGAGGCGAGGGGGCGGGGAGGGAGCGTGGCGCGCTCGGGCCCAAGACCAGGCCCCGAGGTCTATTTACATCCGACGCCCAGGCACCGAGGCCGCGCTCCCGCCCCCTGCGGTCCCGGGCCGGCCTGTAGGGCGGAAGGACCACGGCCCCGGCGGCTTCCCGGCTCCTCTGGTCGGGCGGTGGCAGGAGCCGAGGATGCCTCCAGTGATGGGCCGGACGGGTGAGTTCGGTTTGAGGGAACGCAACGAGGGGCTGCGGAGGGCCCCTCTGGGCCGCAAGAGCGGAGCGGACGGGACTCCCGCACTCTGGGGTGCTCACCCCATGGGTCTGCGACCCCTGAGCCTCCCTCCGCCTGTTCCCCGGCCACCAGCTGGCCCCCGTCGGCGCCTCCCTTACCTTCGTTCGCCAGGTCCGCCATTTTACTTCCTTAAGCCCTCCCACAAGGCCCCGCGCGGGCCCGGGCTCGCCTGCTTTCTGCCGGAGACTCCTGCGCGTGCGTATTGAATAAGCCGACTTCTTGCAAGGCGGGCAACTGGCGCCTGCGCAGTGAGCTGAGTGCCGAGCCGAGCTGTGGCTCGCGCTCCGAGCGCGCGCTTGCGCACTAACTGTCCCCCGCCTCCTTTTCCCGCCGGCGGAGGGGGCGTGGTTTCAGCCGCGCGCATGCGCGCGGGCAGAGCGCGTGGCCGACGCTGTGGTTCCTGCGGATGTCCTGTGACTTGAAGTGCTGACTGGTTTCCAGGGGTTCACAGCGGCGTAGAAATGACAAGTTCGGGACGCCGCGGCGGAGGCCTTGCTCCAGGTAAATCCCGGGGCTTGCAGGGGCTTTCCACATCCAGAGAAGGATGGCCTTTGGGCCATCAGGCCTCAGTTTCTCCGATTCGGGAGCGGGGAGGTGGAGGGAGAGCGCGGGGTGTTGAGGAAGGCAGAACTAGAGGTTGAAGAGCATCGGCCTGGATGTGTGTGTTGGGGGGTGGTCGGCCAGGCGTGAGGACGGGGCGCAGCCCTGGGCCTCTCACCGAGCTGGGAATCAGGGGTCCCATCTGTAAAATGGGCTCGTTGGCATCGCGAGGCTTGTGTGATAATGTAGAACACCCCGGACCTCCAGTTTCTCCATCCCTAAAATGGATTCAGGGTCCCATACGCAGTTTTTGGTAGTATTTCAAGAGTCCATATTCTGTTTTGTGGGTTTTCTTTTTTTTTTTTTTTTTTTTGTGCTGGGGTTGGAACCCCAGCACACTTAGGGAAGCACTCTCACTGAGCCACATCCCAACTTTCTGTAAAATGGGACTGTCAGCCTCTTCTTCCATTCAGGGATCCTTCTTGGCTCACCTACTAACCATCTCAGAAAATCAGCTCAGCCTTGCCTCCAAAATATACCCCAGAGCCACCTCTTCTTGTTGGCCTGCTGTCACCACACTAGGCCAGACTGTCCTGGGTCTGTTCTAAAAAGGTGGGGTGCCTTCTCTCCACAACAGCAGGCATATTCTTAAGACTGTAAGTGAAAAACGAAATATAAATATTCAAGGGCACCTCCCTTCTGGGAGGACACCTCCTATTTATGCTTACAAAGATCCCATATTTAGCTCCCTTGCCCACCCTGTTCCCCTTTTTCATCGCACTGTAGCCACACAATGCAGTCCCTGGGGCTTACCAAATGTCTTCTGGCCACAGGGTCTTTGCACTTGCCGACCCCTCTGCTTGAGGTCTGCTTCATGCTCCAGTTCTTACCAAGGTGTGAGCCCCATGTGAGCCCTGCTCACCCTTTTCTGCCTGTCACCTAGAACAGTTCAGGGCCTTACAGTGTGGGCCAAATCTGGCTTTCAAGCTAAGAATAGTTTGTTTTTTTTAAAAAATCTGTTTAACTGATTGGGGAAGGGAATCAAAATAATAATATCATTGATTTGTAAAAACTGCATGAAATTTAAGTTTTAGTGTCCATAAAGTTTTATTTAAAAATTGGTTTATTTGTTGACTTTTGTGGTACTTGGGATGCTAGGCAAGTCCTCTACCATTTCAGCTATGCCTTCAGCCCTTTTATTTGTATTTTGTTTTTGTTTTTGTTTTTTGAGACAGGATTTGGCTAATTTTCCCCAGGCTAGCCTGGAGATTCTTCTGCCTCTGTCTCCCCAGTAGCTGGGATTACAAGCATGCATCACCATGCCCAGCTAGGAAGTGTGCTTTTATGTGGTTGTCCTGTATTTATCTTGTAAAGCCTGCACCCCCTTCAGTGACCTCATGTCCACCCCTCTCCCCTTGCTCGCTTCCAAACCAGTGCGGTGTGGTCAGTGTTTATCAGTTGCTTCTGACGGAGTGTGTGTGTTGCGGTTTGTTGTAAATTGTACTGATACTCTCACTTGAAGTCTAGACAACCATCACTAAAATACATTGAGCCCTGGTTTGTAGTGTCTGCTGATTGTCTTGGTGTCGATATTTCGTTTATGGTCTGTGTCAAGCTACTGCTATGGCACCATCATCTCAGCTGGGAAGAGCTACATTGGTGGCAGCACACAGATTTTATTCTCGGTGTGGTCCCCAGATGTGGCATCTGCATCACCTGGAAGTGTGTCAGATGCAGAACCCCACGCCCAGTCACACCTGCGTTAGGTTCTGCATTGTAACTGGGTGCCCAGGAGCTTCCTGGACATTACAGATCTTGGGGCACACAGTTCTAATGCCATTGCTTTGCTTTTGTTTTTTCAGGATTGGGTTTTTTTGGTGGTACTAAAGTTTGAACTCAGGGCTTTGTACTTGCTAGGCAGGTGCTCTACTGCTTGAGCCACCCCCTCCAGTCCTTTTAAAATTTAGTTTTTTTTTCAGATAGGGGTCTAGAGTTTTGGCCTGGGGCGAAGGAGGTGGTCCTCTTACTTATGCCTCCTGAATAGCTGGGATTACAGGTGTGAGCCACAGTGCCTGGACTTACTGGTTTCATTAAGTCCAGGCTTTCCTACACTTTCTAGGGCGGGTCTTCCCAGCCTTTGCCCATCTCAACCCTCTGACCTTTGATGAACGTAATGATTTTCTTTGGTTTAAGTTTACATTGTGTTATATAGATACTTTGTATCAATGTTTAAAATAGAAAACCTCTGGGCTGGAAAATAGCTCAAATAGTAGAGTGCCTGCCTAGCAAGTGTGAGGCCCTGAGGTCAAACCCCACCCCCAAAAAAAAGATAAAGATAAAATGGAAACCCTCCCAGCCATGACTGGATATCATGATGAAAATGAACATGGGAGCAAAATAATGGTGGCAAGTTTAGATGGACGCCAAGCCCACAGTCTGTCTTTTTTTGGGGGGAGGGGGCAGTACTAGGTTTGAACTCAGAGCCTCAACACTTGCTAGGCAGGCAGTTTACCACTTGAGCCACTCTACCACTCCAGTTTTATGTTGGGCATTTTTGAGATAGGGTCTTGTAAACTATTTGCCCAGTCTGGCTTTGAACAGCGATCCTGATCTCTGCCTCCTGAGAAGCTGGGATTATAGGTGTGAGCCACTGCACCTGGCTCTGCCTGTTCTTTGGTGTGAAGGGAGGTGTGAAGTATTACAGGGCCACACAGTGGAAATGAAAGAGAATGGAGATGGGATGACCATGATGGCGGTTCTTGTGATCTGCTGTCCACGAGTGGCATGGAGTTGATAAAGAAACCCAGGGAAAAGCTCTAAAGGCAGGTAAAAGCCCCTTCCCCCAGGTGGGCCCGGTTTCAGACCTTTCTGAGAGAAACAGCAGATGTCCTTCCACCACAGATATGCTACTGTAATATCGAAAGGCTAACCACCATGTCTGCTTTTGTCCTTCCCACTTGCTTGCTTCTGCATTCTGAGGCATAAAAACCCAACAACCCTGAGCTAAAGGGCCGGTGCTATTTTGGAGAGATCCAGGTGCTGGCCAACTAGCATGAATAAATCTTCTTTTCCTCCAACCACCTAGGTTTGAGTCTTGTTCTTGCTGGTCTGTTATTCTTCCTGCAACATTTTCTGGAGGCCCCAGCGAGATCAGACCACTGAGCCCCATTGGGTAACGGGTCCCTGCTCCCTGGCTCTGCAGCCTGCAAGGGTCCCTGGAACCGAGAAGTGCGTACCCCCGACATGATTCCAGGGTCTCCTTCCAGACAACTGAAGGAAGCTGTAGAGCCACGGACCAGGCCCTTGGACTGGTGGAGTGAAACGGAGATCTGTGCCAGATGTCCAGACCAGGTAGGAAGCCCTGGGGTAATCAGTGTAAGGAGCCAGCACAGACTGATCTTCTGCAGGGGACTGGTCGAACCCTGAAGAGTATCCAGGGTGATGCGTCCCCTTCTTCTGTGACTGATGTGATTCAGGTCAACTGTGAGTAGAGCAGGTCAGGATTCTAGGGGAAATAAATAGGAAACTGATTGTTTTAAACTCTGAGTGAATGGTGTATGACTGAGTGGCTTGACTCGCTTGTGTTTCAAGCTCGAATTTGTGGCTCCACAGCTGGGCACCTCTAAGGTCCCCTAAAGGCTACAGAGTCCAAGTGGGCTTGATCTGCGACTTCACGGTGATTGGCATACAGTCTATGGTGGGATCAGACTAGTGTCCAATTGTAAGTCACCCTGTTGGGCTGAATCCACTATAGCGAAGCCACACCTGACCACATCACTTGGGGTTACAGCCAGACGAGCACCTGTGTGGCCTCTTGCTGAGAGGCACCCCCTTCCCTTTGTCTGTCTTGTGACACCGATAATCACAGGCTTTGACCTCTGGGTCAGAGCTCCCGACGGTGCTCCGGACCATGCTCGCTAACTTTAGGGACGGCTTCTTGGGTGACTGTGGAGTCCGGATGAAGCCAGCAAAGCTCTGAACATTCTGTGAACTAGGGCACGCTGGAGCTGGCCACTGTCGCCCGTGTGAGATCCGTTGGGGATCCGGGTCACCCAGACCAGTTTCCTTACATTGACTTCTGGTACATCTTGGCTGCCTGCTCACCTGACTGGTTGTGTTTTCATGCACCCTGGAGACACACAGCTGTTCTGGTTAACGGCAAAGTAAAAGAAAAGAAATCTGAGGTCCACCACACCTTGGAACCTGAGCTGCTAGACCTGCCACCATATGTCCCTCCAGTGTGCCCAGCTGCCCTGGCCTCCCTGAGACATGAGTCTGACTCAGAGGACCCTAATGGAAAGGAGGAGGCATCAGACCCGAACCCCGACCCATGTCATCCAACGGCTCCCTCGTTATACTCCCCTTTACTTTTGATGGCCCCAGAGAAAGATACGAGCCATTGGGGAAGGTTGCTGAACTCTGGAGGCTAACAAGCAAGGAGGCAGGAACCCTGGCAGTGACACTATGCCCCCTGCACCAGGCTCCGGAGCTGTCATTACCCCAGGCAGATGGGTCATACGCAGCCAGACCCATGCATTACATGTACCAGCCCTTCACTACCACCGACTTCCTGAACTGCGGCAGCACACCCCAGCATACTCAGAGGAACCGCAGGCTGTAATCGAGCTCTTGACCAACATCAT